CTGTGCAGCTATAGTTAATAAATGTCTGGGTGTATGACTGTTTATTGTACAGTAACGCTCAGCAGAATCCAAATGTAAGAGTCTTACAGGTAAATCCCTTGTGAGGGATTCTCTTTGATCTGGGCTTTGTCCTTAACAGCACAGTAATAGTGATACGTCCTCCGGCACGTCTTCACATCGCAGCCGATGGTCGCACCCGGTCGGTGACAAGAAGAACACATCTACAACAACAATTTTGTACGCTGATTTAAAACAGTCATCAATTAGTAACGCATTCATACATGGATCTGAGAAATGATCGCTCCAAGTATTATGCGTCTGGTGTGTCATATGAAAATATTAAAAACATGTCCCAGTGGGACACCGCTGATTGATTCAAGAGAAGAACAAATTAAAATCAGCAGGGAAGGTTAAACCAAAAGGAAAACAATGTGACACAATTTAAAAGAAAACCAGCACAGGAAGCTTAGAGCGGCTGATAACATACCGTCTGTAGATGAACACTGAACTGATCAGAAAGCGTTATTTTTCAAAACTGATGAATATTTTTAGTTATTTTTTTCTTATTGTAAGAATGCTTTGTTGTTTTTCTTTGTTGTTTATTTATACACCAAATGTGTAGTTACTGGTCAAATAAGACCTGTCTTTTAAAGGAAGGGATTTAATGTTTTATAGTCAGAAATATGAGCTGATTCATCAACATAATATCCAAAAGATGAATCAGTGACAATCTGCAGAATGGTTTGGAAAACAAATTAAAATGTTTGCAAACGCACAACTTTAAAGGCTACATTTTTTACTCTTTACTAAGTGATGATTTTGGTGATGATGTAACAAAAACAATTATTAAATAAGTCAAATACAACATGTGCAACTTATTAATGCACAGCTCTGCAGATCAATTCTCATTTCGAAATAAGCTGCATTTCAGTGTGACACCCCTCTCACACTTATATACAGGAAATACAGAATAGTGCAAGCACACACTTACAGACCACTGCAGTGCATCCCATTAGCATTCAGTGGCACACTGACACACACACACAACCAGTTTTGAAAGCATCCTGGAAAAGCCATCTTTTTATTTAACAGTATGTCAGATTGAGGCAAGAAGAACCAGCAGCTTTAGATCTTTTATTGGATGAGAACAGCTGACATTATATATGTCAGCTGTCAGACAGGATATAATGTAATAATAGCAGCTGGTATCAACCCCAGTCCTCTGTAGCAAACTTGCATAGTTACACACACCCCCACACACACACACACCCCCACACACCCCCACACACACACCTTAAAAGGTGAGACACCATTATTATAATGATGATGATTATTATAGCAAAAGCAGTAAAAACTATGAGTACATTTTGGCATTAGTAAATATTACTTAGAAGCAGGCATTGTACAGCCACAGATGTGCAGCGTTTCCTCAAAGAGAAATGCGCTCAGGGTCATTCCCTTGAATGATTCCACGACTGCTTTCAGATGCTAAACAGTCTCTGAACTGAAAATTTGGGCCTTTAACACTAATTTGGCAGCGGTGCTAACCCATGGATGCAGCCTGTCTGCTGACCTGAGCACAACAGTAGGTACTCACCAGTTTATTTCCCCTCTTGATCTCTTTTTTCACATCCTCAATGGAAAATCCTCCGATGTTTTCACTGTCTGAATGTGATGTGACGAGGGCTGAAGAGAAAAGCTGAAGAGGACAGAAAAAGAAAAAAGAAAATAATGAGAAATTTATTTACGTAGCATTAATATAAGAATGAATTTGATATACAGAACATCTCTGGCATTATTTCTCTTAACTACTGCTGATGTACAGTTTTCCACAAAGTCATTAGATCATTTATGGGAGAAGAATCATTTCATTTCACAACTGCATGAAGAAATAAAAACAAAAACAGACGTGAGCTGTTCACTATTCTGCTCATGTGGCAGAGGGCTGCAAAGTAGGCAGCTTGGATGACGGATCCCGGGCTGAAAAGCTGAGAACAACGCGGCTTCCTCACCATGCACTTATGGTGGGCTGCCACCTTCTGGCTGTCAGACACCAGCAGCTGCCCACACTCCTTGTCCCGGTTGGTTCTGCAGAAGGCACACTTGGGTAGCCGTGCTGCTGCTGCGGCTCCTTTCCTCTGTCCTGACATGGCCAAAGGCTTTTTTTGTTTGTGAATCTAATTTAGAAAAGGAAAAAAAGTAAGAAAAACAAGATAAATTTCACTTGCAAAAGCTTGAAGACTCTTTTAGCAGGGATGGAATCAAAGGAAATGTTCACTATATGTTCACTACATGGAGTTTAATCACCGCTCATAAACTAGAAACTACAAGACAGTAGATATTCACCGCCAACGTAGGCAAAGAGTGAGTGATGAATACAAACATCACTTACAGTTTGGATATTTAAGCATAAACCACGTTCTTGGACTCACACACCCCCAACCCCACGCCCTCACCTAAGTGAAATAACATGTAAGTTGCTTTGGAAAGGAGCCACGAGAAACTCTTTTCCAGAAACAGCTGGAAACAAAAACTTTCAACTACTCGCAGACAAGTAACTTCAAAACAGAGGGGGAAAGTCACAACAGAGCAGCTCGTGCCTGCTTTAAGTGCTGCTTGGCAAAGCCAGGAATGGATCATACATTGGGGGGAGGGGGGGGATTTCCAATTTCACTTCAGTTTTTCCAACTTCAGAATCTCATAAAGTTTATTCTAACCAAACATGTGGGGGTTTTTTTCTAGATGCTGAATGGAGAGGGGAAAAAAGTAACAAGCACCTACAGTTTTTGTGCGTGAAGAAGGCAGTCAAATATAAAATCCTGTTGTAAAGTGTCATGGCTGAAGGCCATATTGTGAGGATGCAGGGAACCTTTACCAGTCATCCAAAGGCTAGATAAGATTAAAAAGGAAGGGAAATCAGCAGGAGCTGGTGGAGCACATCTGATGCAACCCGGAGTACTTTTAATTATAATGTCCTCCATAGCAGTTTTATTTGTGATGACTAGTTAGTACACAGGCATTACCTGGAGTTTGAATGATTTCAAGTTTCATATTGTTTTTGATTCAATGCCAGCTAAATTTTAATGCACATCTTATTTATGTATTAATCTAAATTTTATTAAAATTCAAACAAATCCGTTAGTGTATTCTTCAGAGTGCATAGGTGGATCAAACCCCCAAACGTGTGCTGTTATTCTCACATAGTCCGCTGTCATAGTGCTCTGCACACATTCTTTAAAGGAAAAAAACCCAAAAAACAAAGGAAAACTTAAAAGATATAATCAATCCACAAACGAAACTGCGTCATTTTATATAGATATTAGAGAAAGAAAGAAAAAGAATCACAATAGCAGTGCGCTGCGACGCCTTGATAGAGCCATTACAGCCATGACAGCAGGGCCAGGATTTCACTGCGGCGGCTCCAGCAACAGAGCTCAACGTGCAAACACACAATACTGGCCGAGCAAATAACACCAAAAAGACTATATTTCAACATCTGCTGCTCTCTGAATCGCTCCCACATCACAATCTTGCACTACAAGACGATAGTTGTTGGGGGGATTTTTGACGAGAAGGGGCGAAACATAAGAAGCGACTGAAATTTCTCCTACAAACTTTTGAATTGAAGGGGGTGTGTGACTCTTTCTCCACCAAACTAGTTATAACTGAAAATGTTTTACTACGAACATCTCAGCGCCGCGAAATGTTCCTCCCAAGGCCTTTTCATGCAGAGAAATAAAGGTCGGTTGTAGGAAAATGTGACTCTTCGACATTATGATTTCACTGGAAGTCGAAAAACTGCGAATATTTCCCTTTAAATGTGGGAAATTATCATGACAGGCGCGGGTCTTTGCGAACCGTTTCGAAGTAAAGAGCGCCATACGTGATGTATCCCTGTGAAAAGCGAGCAGCTCGGCTTGTACGCAAGCAATACGGCCTGAAACGACAACAGGCCATAAAACACAGCGGGTATCATCCAGCCGTGGATTCACAGCTCGTAGCTTACCTGTTAATGTAATCTTATCGCGCCGAAACGCTACAAAAGAAGGAAAAGTGCTCCGGCCAGCGGCTGTGTTTCTTTCCGTCCTTCAGAAGTGATCGTGTGCTTTTCGCAATAGCACCAAGCTAACTAAAATGTCCACGGCGCTAGGACTTCCGGGTCTGGCTTTCACAATAAAAGTCATGACGACAAACTTACGTGTCAGGCGTAAAAAAAAAAACAGCAAAACTGTTTTTTAAAAAGACCTAATTGAAATGGCTTTAATTTTGAAGTGTATCTTTCCTAAAAGCAGAGCAGAACAATGGCCGGGCATGCAGGTTTAGTAAAAGCTAGTACTGATTTTAATTTAAATATAAGTTGTTGCTGTTGTTATAGCTAAAATCAGCCCATGTTATCACGTTTTGGGGATTTTTGTCTTAAATTATCAAAAATAAATGTCTCTTCTAAGAAAAAATCCATTTGATTTAATTTATTTTCTTTCATGTTGCTACAAAGATAAGTGTGTCTAAACCTTGTACGTTATCACATTTTTATCACATATCATCGGGGCACATGAGACCATCAAAGAAGGACTTGTAAATAAATGCCATTTACACTGTGTAATGTAATTACAGATGGATCTAAGTTTGGTCCCCGTGACACACATTAAATGATAGATAGATAGATAGATAGATAGATAGATAGATAGATAGATAGATAGATAGATAGATAGATAGATAGATAGATGAAATAATTAATAGAATTTATAAACTATAAAAAACTGACCTAAAACTAAAATAACACTTTATAATAAACTAAAAAACACATAGTAATAAAAACACATACATAAACTGATAAAGTGCAAAGGAGAACTTACGACACTGAGTGTATGAACCTCAGTTTATGGGCTGGTGGAAGGGGTCTCTCATGATGTCCATTGCATGATTCTGTATCTGTTGATATAAATATCCCTTAAACAATTGAAGCTGCTGTTGTTGCGCCGACTTCTTGTCACCTCAGAGAAGTTGCTATACCAAATAATTTTTGAAGATGTCAGGATACTCTCCACCACACAATGCTGAAAGGAAGTCAGCACAGCTGCACCAAGGCCAAGCATGTATCCACCTCCTCATCATACAAAACAGTTGTCTTAATAATACTGTCTGTTTTGTGGCCCGTTTGAGGTTGCTGGGTATATGCAGAGTCAGGTATTTGACTACGGTCACCACAGCTTTTCCTCTAATGAGGAGGGATTGAAGGATGTGAGGTCTCCTCCTACCACCACAATCTCTTTTATCTTCCCCAAATTTCCCACAAATTGTTTGCATCACACCAGCCAACAAGTTCTTCCACGTCTCTCCTCTACATTGACTCATCATTAATTGCAACAGCTGCATCATCTGTAAAAGTCACAATATGATTGCCCGGATATTTTGCTGAGCAATCACGTGTGAGTAGTGTGCACAGTAAGGGGCTCAATACAAGCTCAATCACAGCTGAGCTTTTAGGCACTGGGACAATAATGGACCTCTAAGGCACCACAGTCTGGGATATGTTAAAAAAAAATGCATGTCAACACCATGGTGGGGCCCTGAGTAGGAAAAGTTTAAACCAGTGATGTCAAACTTATTTTATGTTATGAGACACGTGCATCCTACTTTGATCTTAAGCTGGGCGGTCCTGTAAAACTCCCCTTTCAGTCACTCTAAAGAAATGTAACTTGCATTTAAACCCTGAGATATCTTAATATAAAAAAGTACAATTTCAAGAGAATGCCTCAGTTTTTTTACAAGACCTGAACGGTAATAAACAAAATAATGAAGTAATAAATGTGTAAAATTACAGAAAAAGTTCTAGAAAAAATCCCAGAAATTTCCACAGTATTTCATTTAATTATTTACATATTACTTTATTATTTTAGTGTGATATGAATGTCAAGGACACCCTTATCAGTAGGAAAAGTAAAACTTATGAAATTACAGTTGCAAGGTCTAAATTTATGCCCTTCATTTACTGTTTTCAAAGCCATCCAGTGTGCTGAATTTGGAGTCTTTGCCAGCTCAATTCTGGATCCCCTCATGTTTGACACCTGTGGTTTAAACTATTCTAGAAACATACAGCATTGTGCAAAAGTCTTGAGGTGCCTCTCAGTTCTTTGTATTTTGCTTCCAAGGAGCCAGACTTTCTTTTAGTAATAGTTTTGCATGCTTTCATCTTTCTCTTTCAGCTAATTCCTTTATGGATCTCTTCCATTATCCCACCCTATACCTAGAATCCACCTCTCTCACTCCAACCATCTTTCCTTTTTCTCTCTCTCCTCTGTTCGTGTGTGTGGGTTCCTGCCTGTGTTCCAGAGGTGGAGTGTTTCCTGGGTGTCGGCCCTCATTGCCCACACTCCTGAAATTCGAAAGCAGTTGTGTTGATTATTACCTGGACTATTAATCTAGTCATGAATTGGCCTCCGCAAAGCCTGGACGTCAACATTATTATTATATAACATTACTAAGACAATGTGGGATCACCCTGGCAGACAATGGAGCAAAACACAGCCACCCTCCGAAGAAGAGCTTTGAAGGTGAAGTGTCCATATGTTCCCTTAAATGACATTCAAAGTTTCACTAATTTCTATGCAAGTAAAAAGCTTTTATGCAGGGTTTGTTAATGTAGTGTGGTTATTATCACAAATTTGGACAACATGTAGTTGGAGAATACAGAGGAGAGTCAACCCATTATGCCTGTCATCCGTTATTAAGTGATGGTAAGTGGACATACATTAAAGAAAGAGTCAAAGGAGCTTGCAAAGAAAAGCGTCTGGACTTCTTTAAGTTAAGTCCACACGCTTTTCTTTGCAAGCTCCTTTGACTACGATGACCTGGATGACTGAGAACCTTCACAGACATTAAAGAAAGACTTTGGTAACTATTCACGTTGAAGAACTTTTTGTGGTCCATATGTGTTCTAGAAATTGCTTGCTTTGATAATATCTAGTAAAATGTGTTTTACAGATGTTGCTATTGGATACTGAATTTTCTTGTGACTCAACAAAGAAATCACTAAAAGGCGATTAGAAACAAATTTCCCAGAGGAACCTACCCGAGGGATTAATAAAGTTCTATAAAGATGAAAGAAAAAAAACAACTAATCCTGTTTCTTATTCTGGCCGATTTTTACAACGTTTAGATTTCATAACCACAGATAAAACACGAACTATTTCTCAACTAATGGCTTATATCTTCCCGAGAATTTAGATGCACTTGATTTCTATTAACGGGCTGTCCGGTAGAGTGGCCTCCCTTCAAGTCTGCAACATACTCCCCCTCATTAGTATGTAACTTTGTGAAACATGCGCACCCGTAGCGGGGCAGTGGGCGTGCCCACATCACGCAAAAGTGATAGGATAAAATTGGTGTCAGTCATATTACATAGCAAAACATGACCGCCCATTGTCCCCGGGATGAGAAGAGGACGGGTGTTTCGGCAGAAAAGAACAGGGAAATGAAGTTGACAGACGGGCAAGCCCAGCAGCAAGTCACTCTGTAATAACTAGGAAGCTAGCAAGTTCGATGACAGGGGTCACTAGAAGTGAAATTTACGTCAAATATCACTGCTATGAATGTCTCTAGTTTGAGGAAGTTGTAGCTACAGTTAGGGGACGTTAGGTAGCTACAGCTGTCAGACAACGTTACAGACTTTTTCAAAGTAACGTTACAGTGGATATTGAAAGTGGAGACGACTCGCTAGCCCGCTAGCTCACCTTTGGTCACCGAGCGTCTTTGAAGTTCAAAGCTACCCTTCATTCGGTGAGTGTACACAGCCTGAAGTAAATATTTCAGCAGGGTGTTTTGTGCGTGTGTGCTTCCCCACAACCGTCGTTCTCTAACTGCGTCCTGTTGGTAGTTGCCTTGTTTCTAGCTATAGCTAACTAGGTCACAAGCTAGCTCAACTTTTCCGATGAGCATGCTGCAACGTTGACATTTTGACGTCCTGTTCTCCGTTACATCCTTGTTTTGGTTTGAAAGCTTGCCTTCTACTGTTCAGCTGACCCCGCTTAGTTTGAAAGTGGACTAATATAGACTAATATAATGAATCCACCCTAAACTCAACGTAAGAAACGTTAAGTACGAAAAGTTGTTAGCCTTTTTTCGACTAACGTGAAGTAGCGTTGTGAGTTACTTTAAACTTTAGTCTCTTCCTTATGAGCTTCTGTCTTTAGCCAAACGCCATAACTCACTCATGTGTAGCTCATCAGATGAAGGTTTTTTTTGTTGTTTTTTGTTTTTTTGTTAGCGATTTCCTGATGCAAAGAGGTACAGGAAGTCGAATAGGTTTATTTGCACAATTTTAAAAACCCGTGTTATGTTTCATCAGAGATCTGGTCTTGGATTACCTGTCTTCAGCCATGCCTTTTCCTTTTGGAAAGTCTCAGAAGAACCCAGCTGAGATAGTGAAGAGTCTGAAGGACCATGTTGCATACATGGAAAAGCTGGATGCTGGTGACAGCAAGAAGTGTGAAAAGGTCAGCTGTGGATTTCTCTTAGGATGGCATGAATGTTAAAACTTACAGTAACGCTGAGCAGCAGCTGATCATACTCTTTTACCCCCTCATGTTATTAAGGTTGCAGAGGAGGTGTCTAAAAATCTTGCCTCACTGAAGGAAGTACTTTGTGGAACAGGTGACAAGGAGCCCCAAACTGAAGCAGTGGCTCAGCTTGCACAGGAGCTGTACAACACCAACCTTCTAATTTCTCTCATTGCAAACCTACAGAAGATTGATTTTGAGGTAGGAGAAAAAATGCCTTCTTTCTGCACTGACTTTATGAGTTTAAAGTATTGATTGCTTGGTGCACACATTGAATGATCAGTGGGAGTGCGTGTTTGCATGCCTGATTTGAACGTTTATGCCCAAAGCAAAAAAAAAACCAAAACCCTGTGTATATCAGCACCCAGTCTGAGTGGTTGTTACTGTGCAGGGGAAGAAGGATGTGGTCCATTTGTTCAGCAATATTGTGAGACGTCAGATTGGCACCCGCACGCCCACGGTAGAATACATTTCTACACACCCACAGATCCTCTTCATGCTTCTCAAAGGGTAAGTTCATATTTTCAGTCTACAGAAACTCAGTGTTTGGTCATTTGATGTTCAATCTGACTGCTCTTTGTCCATTTACATGCATTAACAACAGATCCACCCTTAGAGCCTCATAAACAAACAAACAAATCCTTAGCATGAAATAAAAAGCATTTGGTTTTTGCTTTTTAGGTACAAATACCTTCCTTTAACATGCCTTGCAGTCTTCTGCATTAGCCAGTATGAGTTTCAACAACTCCCAAAGGAACAAGCATGAACTTGCTCACATGTGGGCTACACATGTAGATGATGGATAAAGCAAAAAGTACAGTGCTAGTTTTACAGCTCTGAAAAACTGAGTCATCCTGCTCACTCACTCAGAGACCAGCTGCATGCTCCGGCTGCTGTTTGGAGGATCGAATGCCATCTTATCCGGTTGAATGTCACAACTATAAAGAGGAAGATTGGTTTGTTTATGAGAGGCAGACATCAAAACCTGACATTTAACGTTGATGTCTCGGTTTTTTACACTGCTAATGAACTCCCTTGTTGTGCGTGGGGAAATTGTGTACTTTTTTGCACAGGAAAAAAATACCTCTCTGTGGAAAATGAGATCTAGAAATGTCACGTTCAACCCAAAATTATACCAAACAACTTCATTGATCCCACTAGGAGCGATTTGTTGTACACAAAACACAGGAACATTCATACAAACGGATGGGCAATAATGTGGAAGGAGATGGATTAAAATAGAAATATATATGAATAAAAAAAATACTAATAGAATATAAACCACACAGAGCATTTTGTACTATGATTGCAGAGGGAAAGATTGTCCAAAGAGGTAAAACATTACGACACCCTGATGGCTGCAGAGGCAGCTCACTTACAAGACCACATTCAGCCAAAACACTTCCTGTTTTCATAAAAAAAAATCTTTTTTTTGGTTCACTGTTGAGCTTGTGAACAACTCTTATTAATAATGCTGTTCAGGCTGCTTCTACTATTTACCATTAAACCAATAGATAAAAGGAAAAAACTGTGTAGACTCACAAAAAGTGGACAGTGGGTAACAAGACTGGCAAAAAAAAAATATTTAGGCTGTGGAGAAACTGATTTTTTTGTTGTTGCCCTCTGTGGTCATAATAAACCTGGGGATCATGAAAAATGCCACCAAAATATTTGTATAACGGTTCCCACACATCACCTTTTTAAAGCCTCTTTCAGACGTTCAGTCCTCTCTGCTCATCAGAGACATCTGAATATGTCAGCTGAATGGCCCCCCGGCCACTTTTCCATGGAAAAAGTCACAGCTTTTAATACTGCAAGAATCTGAATGCATGCCCTTCGCATGAACCAATAGGTTCATATGTCTCGCGCCAGTATCTTGCGTTGCCCTGCTTTTGTTAAGAAACATGAGAATGCTTTAAAGAGCAACAACATGAGGGGGCGAAGAAAAAGAAGTTTGTATGAGACACCTGCTTTCCTTCTGTTTCACAGTCTTGTGCTGCCCAAGCTCATTAAGACCTCAAACCAGATTGTTCTTTAAATAAATTGTTGTACATGTCACAGAGGACAAAGCATGAACATCTAGGTTGTTCCACATTTTAGCACAAAATTCGAAAGGCACATTTTGTGTACATTTAATGGCCGGATGGGTGCACAGACCTCTCGAAAATCACAAAATGCCTTTCACATCTGTGTTAACGTTGTTCACTTTGCATCATTTGTATCATTTCACATCTAGACTATTACAGATTGAAATGTTTATAAAAATCCAAGTTTATGTAAGTCTCTGCCAGGTCTCTGTCTGAAGAAGTCTGCGACAGGTTGGATTAATCAAAGTCAGCAGTGACGGTAGTTTGTGTTCCAGCTGTTTGTACAAGACTTTTAAGTTCATAACTAACCTGCAGCAGCAGAGAGCAGTGCGATAATATATGCTATTACAGGGTCCATCGTGATCGAACTACAACATCCTTACCTTCAGACTGGTGGGTGTTTTTTATAAACTGGACTTTAACGTTTTCTGAGCTCCATATGGGACGTTGCGTTTCTAATTATCAAAGCGACCAGAAGCTTTTGATGTTTCTTGATGTGCTGTCAAATATCTGGCAGAGCTTAGGGGACACTGTCTAGCATAAGAGGGTTATGGCTCATTCTGTCATAGTTGTGAGAATATAGGGATGAAACCGGGATGGGCGTTAACTTAAGTGACCTTTATCTGAATACTGTCTCTTTAAAAGATTGATGAGAGAGCTTATAATGCATTCTTTGCAGCTCCTTGATTTAAGCCCAAGAGTATATCACACTAAGAAATAGTACAGCGTCCACTACTGTAAATAATAAAGACTGAGAGTGTTAATAAGACCCTTTGAAAGCAAACAGCAGACTTTTTATTAAAAGTTACTATTGTGACGTTGTATAAACAGTTCTCAAACAAAAGCTTGGTGTACTCCTTGCCATTTTTCTACCTGCTTAAATGAGTATAACAAGCTTTGCATCCTGTGCTCCTCTCCCTGCCAAGTAAGCAAATTGCATTGGTTCAGACTTTCCATTCACACTTAACAAAACATAGTTTTCTCCCAAAGTTTTTCATAATTAATGGGCACAACTGATCTAAAATCACTGCTTATTGGTCATCTTTAGATGAGTACATAAGTGCTCCAAAATGCGAAGATCTGGTTTCAGGGTAGTGACCTATGGAGGATGCTGCCATTCAGCAGACTTGTTTTGGACCAGATGTAACACTTTTTATTTATTTATTTGTTTTAAGGATCTCTTACACATTCTTCAGGCTCTTTTAAAAATATAAAAAATATTTTGGCGATTTACAGAATTTGTTCCATAAGTTTTACCCTAGTTTAAATTCTCAGTGTCACTGAGTGATTGACGACTTCTCTGCGTGTAGATCACTGCTGCTGTACTCACGTTCTGCCTTAGTTTAATCCATTTGTTTATTTTTTGCAAGGATCTCGTTCCTTCGTCACTGGAAACACAGAGTTGATGTCAAACTAACAGTGAAAGTGTTTAGGATGTGATTATACATCCTGAGTGAAAGTTGTATAACTTGTGATGAGTTCACCATCACTTGGACCTGACATGTATGAACCTGTGCAGATACGAGGCTCCAGAAGTGGCTCTTAACTGTGGGATGATGCTGAGAGAGTGCCTGCGTCACGAGCCTTTGGCGAGGATAGTGCTCTTCTCTGAAGACTTCTTCTGCTTCTTCCATTATGTGGAGCTCTCAACCTTTGACATCGCCTCAGATGCTTTTGCCTCGTTCAAGGTACACTAATATATTTTCTTTTTAATGGCGAGATTAACATCCTGACTGTTCCTAGCTAATATCTTGGCCTCTTCTATTCCCCATCAGGATCTTCTCACGAGACACAAGATTATGTGTGCAGACTTCCTGGAGAATAATTATGACAGAGTGAGCTTTCTTGAGTGGTTTTGATATTTAATTGGAAAAACTGCTCATTCTTTACCCAACTTACTTTTGACATTTTTATCAGGTGTTTACAGAGTATGAAAAACTTCTGCACTCTGAGAACTACGTCACAAAACGGCAGTCTTTGAAGGTACATCCTCCTGCTCCTGCTCAGTCTTAAGTTTAACTGACAAGTTTGCGGACTGATTCTTTAAACTCATGTATATTTATTTATTAGCTGCTAGGTGAACTTCTCCTGGATAGGCACAACTTCACTGTCATGACGAGGTACATCAGTCGGGCAGAGAACTTGAAGCTGATGATGAACCTGCTGAGAGATAACAGCCGAAACATCCAGTTTGAAGCATTCCACGTCTTCAAGGTGCGCAAACATTTCTCAAAATCCACTCTTAATAAATCTGAATTGTGTCATGAAAACCCAACATACCTGCTACTTTAAGATGGTCTAATATTGAATGTGGGTTTT